CCATCATTGTTTGGTGGGCCTGGGCTGGGGATTCGAACCCACCACCTTAGGTGTATGTGGCTGGCGCCTTAGCTGCTTGAGCCACAGGCACCGAGCCGGATGCATATTTCTTTATTTTTATTAAACAATTTGAGATTTGCTGGTCGTCTTGTATCTATGGATTGTGATTTTCAAAAGTTCTGGAATGTTCTCAGGCATTTTTTTGTTAAATATTGCCTATGCCTATTTTCACTTTTTCTTTTTTCCTCCTGGAACTCCAATCACATTATGTTGTATGTTCTCCTATCCTCTGTGTCTTTCAACCTCTTACTCTTACCAGTCTGTTTATCTTGCTGAGCTGCATTTTGGAAAACAACTTCAGATCTAGCTTCCCATTCATTAATTGTCTCTTTGTCTTTATCTAATTCACAGATATAAGGTTTTTAATTGCTATTAAAACAGTAGTCATCCTTTATCCATGGAGGATATATTCTAAAACCCTGAGGGGGTTGCCTGAAACTGAAGAGAATACTGAACCCAGTATGTTTTTTCCTATAGACGCACCTACGATGAAGTTTAATTTACAAATCAGGCATAGTAAGAGATTAACAACAAATACTAATAAAAACTATAATAATATACTGTTACATACAGTATATTGAATGTTGCAAATATGGTTTCTCTCAAAATATCTTATTGTATGCAATATTTTTGGACTGTGGTTGACCACAAATAACTGAAACCATGGAAAGTGAAACTGTGGACCAAGGAGGACTACTGTATTTTTATTTCTAGAACACCAGTTTGGTTCTTTTGCAATCTGCCCCTACTTTCACAACTCTCCTCTAGTTCTCAAATCATTTTAAAACATATTTAAATTCTAGGACTGATAATGTCTAAAGTCTTTGGGAGTCTGATTCTACCATGTTATTTTTAATGTCCTTGGCGTTTGGTGCTGTGTTGCCTTGTGTGGTAAATTTTTCTGTAAGCTACTCATTTTTGTTTTTACTTTCCTTTCTTTTTTTATAACTTGAAGCTCTTAGCTCAAAATGTCTTGCTCCCTTCCTTTGCTGCTCATTTCCAAAAATCCCATCCTCCTAGATTGGGCCAGAATCCTCATCAGAGGGGAGGGGTGGGAACTGTGCCCCTCATATTCATCAGTGGTGAGACAGTACAGCATGAAGTGGTCCAGGTCCTGGTGGAGATGACCCTCGAGGGTCCTCATCCATCCATTTTTCTTAGAACTTTATCGGTGAGAATTATTTGAGGACTAAGATGAACAAAGGTTTGTTCAAGTCCAAGTAGAATCTGTACTTCTATCAAGTGCTAGAGACCTCCACCATTCTGGGACCACCTTAAACTCCTGGCTTCAGGTTTCTCATGTGCAAACCCACATAAAGGCTAGCTCAGTTCTCAAGGAAGACCTTTTTTTAACTTCAGTAAGTGCCAAGGTTCAATTTTCCTCTGGGATGCCAGGAGAGTAGATTTATTACTAGTTCACAGAGGGTTCCAACCTTTGGGATCCCAGCTTTACAGAGGGCTTGCCTGCTAAGCCTCTTCTTGGGTAGTCTTGGTTAGTCAGGCATTGAGGCATTCAGGCATTGAGGACCCCAAAAACCAATGCACAATTTTACCTGGTTTGTCAAATATCCTCAAGGCAAAGGTCAGACTTTGGCATGTTGCTACCTCTCTTACATTTTTACCCAAGTATTTCTTTCCTGCTATCTTGTTGCTATATATAAAAATATGTGTTGTCATTATTTATTCTATTTACCTAGTATTTTTAGTTGTTTCCAAAAGAGGATTACTTCAGGCAACTATTCTACCATGATTCTAGAAACAGAAACAGTCAGCTACTCCTTCTTCAAGTAGTTTCTTTCTCTGGTTTTCTTTTCCTGGAACTCCTGTCAGCTAGAAAGCATCTATCAGTGGCAAGGTTCTCAATCTACCCTCCCTCTCACTCTCTTCATCTTTCTTTGTCACTTTCTATAAGCCCTCCTCAGCTTTAACTCCTATTTAGTAATCCTTTCTTTGACTCTAAGTTATTATTTAGTGCTTCTAGTGAGTGTTTTTTTTTTTTTTTTTTTGAGACAGAGCCTCAAGCTGTCCCCCTGGGTAGAGTGCCGTGGCATTACAGCTCACAGCAACCTCCAACTCCTGGGCTCAAGCGAGTCTCCTGCCTCCACCTCCCAAGTAGCTGGGACCACAGGCGCCCGCCACAACGCCCGGCTATTTTTTGGTTGCAGCCGTCATTGTTGTTTGGCGGGTCCAGGCTGGGGATTCGAACCCGCCACCTTAGGTGTACGTGGCTGGCGCCCCAGCCGGTTGAGCTATAGGCGCCGAGCCTAGTGAGTGTTTTTTAATAAACATTCTTTATTTGCAAAACTTCTAAGAGGAGTCCTTGTGTCTAATTACTTTTTTTTTTTTTTTTTTTGAGAGAGAGAGAGTGCCTCACTCCAAGACCAGGGGTCTTTGTGCATGAACCCCAATGTGGTGTGAAAACCAGCTGGGAAAACTTCACTGAAAATAAATAACTCATGCCAGTTTAAAAGATAATGTCTGAGAATGCCTGGAGAACACTTACATTAACTCAGGCTGAGTAAACCAAGAAAATGCAGCCCCTTTGATTTCCAACAAAGGTGCATATGCAAAAGACAGGGTTTAAGAAACCTTAAGTCCCCAGGAAGACTAGATGGGTAAATGGCAGGGGGTTTCTAACAGCCCAAACAGCCCATGAGATGGTATATTTTGAAAGGGGGAAGGAGAAACTAGTTCCATTCCCCGAGGTGAAGTAAACCAGGTTTCCTCATCCAACTACACATCAAAAATTCAAAGAGTTTAAATGTCTTCTACTAGAAGACGACATAGGCCTAATCTAGCCTGTCTGGGTGCCTCCAGTCTCTTTTCATCATCCGTGGTTTTGACAAACCTCCAGGGATTGTCCATCTGCAGGCATTCCCCTGGATATCCCAGGATTGAGGTGGTATGCCCCACTGAGAAGTCATTCTGTCATGACGCTACATCGAGTGCAATGACATCATCGCAGCTCACTGCAATCTCAAATTCCTGGGCTCAAGTGATCCCCCTACCTTGGCCTCCCAGGGTGCTACATTACGAGCATGAGCCACCATGCCTGGCCTTAACCCTATTCTTGAGTTATGGGGATCATCTGAAGATAAAAGAAATGCTCATTTTAAAGCATTTTACTGTTTCAATTTCCTTAGGTATAAATTCTCCCACTTGTTGGGTTGTTGGCTATTCTTTAAAACATTGGATTTTCTCACATATTTTGTCATTTTTTACTTGAGTGCCCATCATCCACAGTAGTTTTTGTTTTCTTTTTCCTTACAGGGCACCCAGGGTCACAAAATCAGAAGCACACTTTTCATTAGCTCTCTAAACCCTTGTACAATGAGATAACCCTCTCTAGTCCAAGATCTGGTGCTAAATAGGAACTTAGTTCCTAGTCACTGGGTATTCACTGCCTGTTTCCAACTGCAATCCGAGGAGATGCAGGGAGTCTTTTCATCCTTTATTCCCAGAAAAGGAAGCCTCATTATAGCCCTGACAACTGTGGGCATGTCTGGTCCCTGTTCCTTGTTGGAGTTAGAGGCCTAACCTTGTCTCACTGCTCAGTAAAGAAACTGGCCACTTACCACAGCAGACCCCATTTACAGCTACAAGTTTCTGCTCCTTTTCTACACAGGATACCTTCTGAGATAGTTGCATAATTTTAACTTAGAGGAATTATTTATCATGTTAGTGTGCTGGTCTCTGTGTATACACACTCACTCCACCACTATGACCAAAGTCTACCAGAACTGAGCCACTGTGTTTCTATAATGTAGCACAGAAAAGAACACACTGGATGACTTAGGGGAGAGGCAAGAGGCGAGGCTAAGAAAAAGCTCTGAAGGAAGCTCAAGGGCGTAACCATTCCGGAGGAGATGTGATTCTAGTTGGCCACAGGCACCTGGAGTCAGAGATGGTGCGGCGAGCCAGGGAACCTGGAGAGTCAGCTCCACATCAGACACTCGTGGTCCCAAAGCCAGGACTTTGGGAGTCCAAACCTGAAACCCAGTCTACAACACCCCAGTCTTTATCAGAGTAAAGCACCCCTCTCTGATGCTGAGGCCCTGTCCTTGGAGAGCCATAGTCTAGGCCTGGGCTGGGCAAAGTGGGGAAAAGAGTGCTAGGGCCTCAAAATAGGAGTGGACTCTAGTTGGGGTTTGCCAGGGCTCAGTCTCTTCCTTCTCTCTCTCACACTATGAGGGGATCCACAGAGGACCAGGGTACAAGCCTCTGCAGCTCTCCCACAGAATGCTGTAAGGCGTAGGCCTAGAGGAAGTCTTAAAAGAACTAACTCTCTCAGGTCCCATCCCCGTCACCCAAGAGTTTTTAAATGACCTCTACAACAATGGACTAGACCAGAACTTGGTCCTAGATGGTCAGCCCTAGGCCTTCACCACCCCTCCAGCCTTAACATACCCAGCCCAACACTGGGGTTCTTCATGTTAAGTACCATCTCTGCGGCTACCCTGTCTTGGAACCCAAACCCACAGCACCCCAGGCACAGGCAACACCTGACAGGTTTCTGCCACACACAGGGGTTTACTCAACTTTATTTCCACAGATTAAAAAAAAAGTTCAAAATACATACATATGTACAGACCCAGCATGCCCACAGAGTTGTTGCTGGTTCTGTTCTCACTAAGAACAGAAGGAACTGCTTAGGAGCCCTCACCCGTTAGGGTTTCAGACTTAACGAGGCACAGTCAATACTCTGAAGCCAAACTGGAGGTGACAGCAAACCCAGCCCCACTCTGCCCAAGGGTCCACCTACAGGACAGGCTTAACAGGAGCAGGGGGACAGGGCACACCTCAGTCAGAGTCACAGGTTTCTTGCTCGGTGGTGGCATCCACTGCAGAGGCTAGGCTGTCATCCTGGCCTTTCAGCCTCTCACCTGAAATGGATGGCAGACAGGAAGGGTGGAGAGGGGCCCAGTGCTTGGGCCACCACCAGAGGATAGGATCCCACCCTGCCAGGCCCTGCACTTACGAATCAACTCAGCGATGGCCCTCTGGGTCCGCTTTTTTAGCTTCTCCAGTTTCTTGGCTACATCTCTCTTGAGGTCCCTGAAGCAAAGAGGTGGAGGGAGGTACAAGGCTGAAGGTTGGCCTGGTGACTCCTTGGGCTCCTCCCTTCCTGCAGCCCTCTGGCATCAGGAGTCACAACCATTGCCTGAGGATGTTACCTAGAGAGGAGGCCAGGATGCTCCCCACCCCACCCCCCCATGCCTGTTAAAACCCCAGCCATCCTTCCATGACCCATGAGACTGGAGGACTAGCTCCACAGACCCACAAGGGAAGCTGAGCCAAGGCATGCAAGAATGGGTAGGTCTTCAGGGATCCTCTCTTGGTCTGCCCTGCCCAGTCACCATCAGGAGTAACTTGCTCCATCCCACTGTGGGCCCTGCTCCTCCTCCAGCCACAGGCTCTCCCCCTGCACTGTGGGCTTCCAGAAGTACACTTAGCCTATTCCCTCTGGCTCTGGGTTTCCCAGGACATACAGTCATGCCTGTGTTTCATCAAATTAAAAACACCCTCAGCTAGTGCTATACTTGACCTAGAATTAGGTGAGAAGGACAGAGTCCAAGACACAAATCTCCCCACCTATAGTCTCCTCTCTCATCAGGGCTGAAGAAAGAGGAGGAAACTGGGGCCAGAGGGGAACACACTAGTTAGTGGTGCAACAAGGACAGAAAGCTGTGTCAGCCCTTCCCTCCATGATACCCCCCCTCTGTGGTCCCCTGAGAACAAAGGCTGGCCTTGCTCAAATGGGACTGTCTGGAGCAGGGAATCTCACCCTTTCTTGAGGAGCCCGCTGCTCCTCTTCTACCTGAGCCGTCACTATCATTTTCCTCTCATTGCCCCATTTTATGTCCTTCTCAGCACTTAGCTCTGACATTAAGGGTCTTGTGTAGCTCTGTATCTTATGTCTGTACTGTCCATCTCCTCACTGGAAGAGGGGACAGCCCACACCTAGCACCAAGCGCCCCCCAGTCTGCAACCATCCTGCATGGGAAAAACTCACCAATCAGGCTTCCGGGGTGCGAGGTTGGCCAGGTCCTGGGGTGGGAGGAGACACAAGACAGGGCTGAAGTGGTCCAGTTCCAGGGCAGGTGAGAAGACATGGTAGAGAGGTAGGGAAATGAGAGAAACGGAAGGAGGAAGGCAGAGATGGGAGCAAGGACAGAGGTGGAAAGGGAATAAAGAAGAGAAGGAGAACGGAGGGAGAGCAGGTAGGGAGAGCAGCAGGACACAGAGGCAGAGGCAGCCACAGCGGCCCCAGGCACTTACCACTTCCTCAATGACGGGCTCTGGCTTGGCGGCCTCCAGCTGCTCCTTCACTTTCTCCTCCACTAGGGGGTGCAAGACAACAATGGAGGCCTGTCAGAAAGGAGCTGCCACTGCAGTGACACTGCCTCCTGTGGCCCCAGGGAGAGAAAGAGAACCCAACTTTCCTTGCACCCAGCTATCCTTGGCTCCAGCCAGAGGTGGAATGCTGCAAAGGAAGCTCTGAAGAAGGGGTCTCTGGGTTTCCTAGGGAAGACGGTCACCCCAGGTTGCAAGAACGGGACAGCAGGATACGGTAACGTGCCTGAGTCAGTCCACATGCACCAATGCTAACCCCAGCTATGAACCTAGCGGGCTGCCTATACAAAGCGCAGTTTTGTGAAGGGCCTTGAGGACTGGCTTTCCCCATAACCCCAGGGCTCCTGGGCTCTGTGGATGCCCTGTGGGCCCTGGCCAGGCCAGAGACACATGCGGCTTTTCTTCCCATCCCACCTCAGGTGTGTGTTCCCAAGACAAGGGGACAGGCAACTCCTGGCTCCACTAAGCCTCCAGGCAGAGGCAGAGCACCAGAAGAGGCCATGTCCCCTCAGAGGACTCCTCTGGGCTGAGAAGTGGACATACCCTTGGGGCCCTTGGGCAGCAGAGCAAGATGCTGGGTCCTGTGGGCTGCATCTGTCCCAGAGGGAACAGATAACCAAAGCACTAACAAGTCTGGGCTCTGTAGGCTCCCTCAACCCCCTGCCATATACACAGTGGCCCCAGGAGTGCCCTCCCTGCCTTGTCTCACCTCCCTCCCCCTAAAGATGTGGGCTGGTGCTGCCTCTTAACCCTGAGGCCCAGAGCCATTCCTTACCCTCCCATGTCCTGCCCTACTGCTCTCACCATGCCACTGCCCTGCCAGGTAGAGTCCAAACCTTGAAGCAAATTACCAAGGGAGTGTCTGGATTTCAGGATCAAGGGGGGAGGAGCAGACTGGGATATAGACAAACAGGTGACACTTTACTTTTTTACAAGATGCTCTTTATTAATTTATTTTACAATCAAAAGTTGATAACAAGCCACGTGCGATGGCTCATGCCTGTAATCCCAACACTGTGGGAGGCTGAAGAGGAAGACTTGCCTGAGCAAGAGTGAGACCCCCAACTCATAAAAAAATGAAAAACCCAGGCTTGACAGCACCCATGCTCAGCACTTAGGGCGCAAGCTATATACACCCAGGCAGGCGGGTTTGAACCTGGCCCAGGCCTGCTAAACAACAATGACAATTGCAACTAAAAAATAGCTGGGTGTTGTGGCAGGCGCCTGTAGTCCTATATACTTGGGAGGCTGAGGCAAGAGAATTGCTGCTGAGGTTGCTGTGAGCTGTGATGCCATGGCACTCTACCGAGTATGACACAGTGACACCCTGTTAAAAAAAGAAAACTCTAGCCAGATGCCTGTAATTCCAGGGGCTTCCAGAGGCTGAGGCAGCGGGATGTCCACAGCCCGAGTCTAAGGTCGCAGTGAGCTATGATGCCATTGCACTCAGCTCAGGGCATAGGATGGGACTCTGTCTCAAAAAAAAAAAAAAAACCAAAAAGGCTTGGTGCCTTTAGCTCAGCAGCTAAAGGCGCAGGCCACATATGCTGGAGCTGGCGGTTTGAATCCAGCCCAGGCCTGCCAAATGACAATGATGACTACAACCAAAAAACAGCTGGGCATTATGGCAGGCACCTGTAGCCCCAGCTATTTGGGAGGCTGAGGCAAGAGAATCGCTTAAGCCCAAGAGTTGGAGATCTGTGAGCTGTGACATCACAGCGTTCTACCCAGGGCAACATAGTGAGACTCTGTCTCAAAAAAAAAAAGAAAAGAAAAGTTGATAACAAAAGTAAAAATAAAAACAGAGACCTGCCAGGACAGGGTCAGGTAGAACCCCCAGAAGCTCATGGTCACTCATGCTCCCCACGTCACAGCAGAGAGGTAAGCCCTGCCCCCTCCTCTGTGTCCTGTGCTGCCAGCCCATTGCTCTGCATGCCTGAAGGGTCAGCTCCTCATCAGGGTGTCTCACTCTGTCCCACCCCATTGCCCACAGGACCCACCACCCTGCTCTGCTACCCAAGGGCCCCAAGACTATATCCACTTATCAGCCCACAGGAATCCTCTGAGGGGACACAGCCTCTTGTGGTGCTCTGACAGACTCCCTCAGGGCCTCTGTCAGAGCTTTTCACGTCTGCCATGAGGTGGTGATGGGTGGTCCTGGAGGCCTAACTCCTGCCCTGGTGCTGCTGCTTGTTCTCCAACAGGGCAAAGCCTGCTGATGTAGAGAGAGGCAGCCTACCTACCTGCTACAGGTTTGGCCTGGGGCACCCTCCTCCTCTTCAGGTCCTCATCCTCGGGGACATAGTTCCGCAGCCTGAGTTCCCTAAGACAGAGAGGAGAAGCAGAGAGGGAATCAAGGGTGTGACATGGTCTTAATCACCTCATACATCCTGCAAGTCAAAATGTTACAAAATCACACAAGCTGGTCACTTCCTGACTTTTCTCTGATCCCTCTGGAGAGGGCAGCACAGAAAAACAGGGCATTGCCCAGACAGGCCCTCCGTAGCCCCTGTCTCTGCTACTTGGCAGCAGGACTGGCTGCCTACTGTGTTGGAGTGTGGACCTCCTCCAGACCTGGGAAGGGATCCCTAGAGAGCATGCACTGAGTGTCTCCTGGAGTATCCCTGCTTGACAGCTATAGAAAGAGGGTCACACAGCAGTGGCTGCAAATCTGAACCCAAGGCAAAGTGTGACTCCCAGCCAGGATCAGAACTCCTGGGCCAAGTTACCCCTAAAAGAAAAAGCCCGTAGTCACCCACTAGTTCCCCAAGACTGGTCCCCTACCCAGAGACTTCCTACCCTGGGCAAATGCCATGTTGTCCTACTAGTGGAAAGGATCTGGGTGTATTGGGTCAAGGGCACGTAGCAGTGAAGACTGACACGTGGACAGGCAAGCATGTGCTGGGGGCTTCAGAAGGAGCATGGCTGCCTGCAGCCGGGTGGAATGTGGACGGACTCTTAAAGGAGGCAATGTCCAGGCCTGTACCTGTAGCAGACAGGGCCGTGACACAAAGCACTCAAGAAGCTGACTGTACTCTACAACTACAGGACTGGCCCATGAGGGCTGTGGAAGAGGCACAACTGTGGAGGCACCTGTAGTTCAGCAGCTAGGACGCCAGCCATATACTCCGGAGCTGGAGGGCTTGAACCTGCCTGGGCCTGCCGAACAGCAATGACGACTACAACCAAAACATGGCTAGGCATTGTGGCGGGTGCCTGTACTCCCAGCTACTTGGGAGGCTGAGGCAAGAGAATCGCTTAGGCCCAAGAGTTTGAGGTTGCTTTGGGCTGTGAGAGATGCCATGGCACTCTACCTACCTAGGGTAACATAGTAAGACTCTGTCTTAAGAAAAAAAAAAAAAAGAAGAAGAGGGAAAGGCTGAGAAAGCCACAGTCCACCTGGGCAGTGGTGAGAACTGCATAGCTCCCACTCCTGCAAGAGGTCTTTCAAATGCTCCCTGGGCAGACCCCACAGGGAGCCTCGAGGAACAGAGCCCTCCAGTGGAAGCTGCAGCCAGCAACCACACTTTCATTTCCCTCCTGTCTCAGTGTCCTGAGGCAGGGCTGACTACACCAAGAGCCCACTGGGGGCCTCCCGGGTGTGGCAACTCATCAAATCCCAACTCCACACATATAGAAGCAGGTTCCTGAGAAGGGGGGGCTCCCAGTAACTCCACGGGGCAGCAGGGTGAGAGTTCCTGAGGGCCGGTGAGCCTAGTAAAGGCAAGACAAGAGACACTGGAATCGACACCCAGGCCCTGGCAATCCTGCCAGCCAGGTGAGCCTGGCCTGTGGTCCTCTTTCCCTACTACCTCTTTTAGTCCTTGATTGCAGGTTCCTCAGAAAGTTCTGGGCTCCAGGGCAGGGAGCAATTTCCCAACAGAAGGCCTCCCACAACCTGCCATCTCCCAAACTGTCATAGCAAACTTTCCCAGAGGTGAGGCAGCTGTTGTCTGTGGTCACACAGCTGGCACGTGGCAGTGCTCTGAATAGGGAGGCTTTCAGATACCAAATTCATTCCCCCATTCAAAAGCACCACCTGCTCCCTCCCCCAGCTCATGTACCATCTCCTTCCCCTCAGAGGCACAGGGACTGAGCCTATGACAAGGTGAGGGTGAGTGCAGCACCAGAGCTGCCTATGAAGGACGCCCATGCTACATTCCCTAAAGCCTGCATCCTCCAAGGAACAGGGATATCCCACATGCTTCCTCACCCCTCATGCCTGCCTCAGGCCTGGGGGTAAGGGTCAGGCCACTGAGTGTGCCTCGGGGAGAGAAAGTAAGGCATGATTTGGTTCAATGACTTTCATTCACAACGGGGTGGGAAGAAAAGAGGAAGAGAAACTGAGTGTGGGAAGAAAACTGCAGGGATTGAGGGAAAAACAGTCACTCAGAAACTATCTCTGAGGTTCTGTGAGAAATGCGTAGAAGAAAGGAGTCCAGTGGGAACTGTACCAAGAACTCAACCATATGTTCACCCCCTCTCTGATGCCCATGGCTTCAGAAGACCAGCTGGAACCAGGACAGAACAGCAGGGGAAAGGCCAGAGAGGTGAGGGCAGTAGCCATGCTGCCTACTGTGCCCTGTCCTGCCCTGTCCCACAGCAGAGCACTGGTCAAGCTGTGAAGAACACCTGGGTCCCCATCATCATGGGATGGTCCTGTTCTGGGCCTCAGTTTCCACTTCTGTGAACATGGAGGCTGTTCCAGGTGTGTCTAGCTCTATCAAGCTAGGTTCAAGCCCTCCCCTAACCATCTTTGAGAGGTAATGGAGAGACTCCCCCCTCCCATGCCCAACTAACTGCCCTCCCTGGTGATCTCCACCACTGTTAAAGGGCAAGAGTCTCTGGCAGAGGTCATGGAACTCCGGGTAGGGGGTAGGGGCCTGGCCTTTCCAATAAGCTTAGGATTCAACTTCCTTTCTTCAAACAACACCTGATAACATGTATTTTTAAAAATCTGTTTATTGGCCTTGGAGAAATATTAAACCGATAAGGATTTTAGAGGTTGTGATCATGAAGATAAGGAAAATGCAACAAAATGCGCCTGACACTGGACACCCCTCTCCCATTAAAAGTATCTGTCCATTTATAAGTGGCCAAAAGGTGAGAAGCTGAGCACGGCTTCCTACAGTCTCATGGGGCTGGAGAGATGTGTGTTAGGGCAGCAAAGAGGAGGGTTCTGGCAACCCCCACCTACTTTCTCTTGTGACTCCCTCCCCACCATAAGCCCCATCCTAAGAACAAGGTTCATCTGAAATAGACCACTCTTCTCAGGGACTGAAACATACTTGGTACCAGCACAGTTTTAACTGGCCTGCTCTTTGGCAGAGGGGACAATGTAACTGGGTAATGGTGAGAGGAAGCTTCTTTATCAGTCCTGAAAGGGTAGGTCAAGGTACCCCTAGGCTAACTGCCTACGAAAAGGTAGAATAAATTCACTCTGGAGGAAAATAAATTATCTAGAACCTCAAATTATCTTTAGAATTTTTCATATATAATACTACAATATCTAAGATTCAGTTGAACTATGAGAAAAAATAGAAATATACTCACAGGCAATCCAGATATTGGAATTATGAGAAATAATTCTTTTTTTTTTTTTTTTGGAGACAGAGCCTCAAGCTGTCACCCTGGGTAGAGTACCGTGGTATCACAGCTCACAGCAACCTCCAAATCCTGGGCTCAAATGAGTCTCCTGCCTCTGCCTCCCAAGTAGCTGGGACCACAGGCATCCGCCACAATGCCTGGCTATTTTTTTTTTGGTTGCAGCCATCATTGTTGTTTGGTGGCCGAACCTGCCACCTTAGGTATATATGGCTGAGCCTTAGCCACTTAAGCCACAGGTGCCGAGCCCAGAAATAAAATTTTAAATACTTATGATTAACAAAAGTTCAGGAAAGGAGACCAAAATTAAGAATTCAATGAATGGGCTCAACAGCAGTTTAGATACAGTGAAGAATAGATTAGTAAACCATAAGAGATGCTAAAAAATATCCAGAGTGAGATACAGAAGAATAAAGTTGGTAAATACAGAAAAGACATAAGAGCCATATGGAACACGGTGAAAAGAGCTAACATACAGAGTGCCAGAAGCAATATTCAAAGAAATAATGACAGAAAAATTTACAGAATAGGCCAGGCATGGTGGCTCATGCCTGTAATCCTAGCACTCTGGGAGGCCAAGGCGGGTGGATCGCTTGAGCTCATGAGTTCAAGATCAGCTCTGAGCAAGAGCAAAACTCTGTCTCTAAAAATAGCTGGGCATTGTGGTGGGTACCTGTAGTCCCAGCTATTTAGGGGGCTGAGGCAAAAGGATCACTTGAGCCCAAGTGTTTGAGGTTGCTGTGAGCAATAACACCACAGCACTCAACCCCAGGGTGACCAAGTGAGACTCTGTCTCAAAAAGAAAAAAAAAATTTTTACAGATTAAAAAAATTATGCAGAATTTATGAAAGAATTAGTCATCAAGCCATAAATTAAAGGAATATTATGAACTCCAAAGAAAAGCACACTTAGGCAAATCATTGTCAAACTACTAAAAACAAAAGACAGAGAAAATTTTAAATTAAAGATACCTAACCTTCAAAAGAACAACTGAAACTGACAGCCAACTTCTCAATGAAATTATGGAAACCATAACACAATGGAAAAATACCAGGGAGGTGCAGAAAGAAACTAAAATGCGGAACCAGAATTCTACATCAAGTTAAAAAGCCTTCAAGAGAAAAACTTTTCCAGATAAAGCAAAGTTAGTAGGAGAATCAGGCATTAGTAAATCTGTCAGTAAAGGGAGTACTTCAGGCTAAAGAAAAATGATCTTGGCCAGGTGTCGTGGTTCCACGCCTATAATCCTAGCACTCTGGGAAGCCAAGGTGGGTGGATTGCTTGAGCTCACAAGTTCGAGACCAGACTGAGCAAAAGCAAGACCTCGTCTCTACTAAAAATAGGAAAACTGAGGCAAGAGGATCGCTTGAGCCCGAGTTGGAGGTTGCTGTGATCTATGATGCCATAGCACTCTACCCAGAGCAGCAGCTTGAGACTCTGTCTCAAAAAAAAAAATAAATAAATAAATAAAGAAAAGAAAAAAGAAATGATCTCAGGTGGAAGAATGGAACTGCAGGGAAAAAATGCAGGCAGGATAAATACATAGATAAATTTAATGAATACTGACTGCATAAAATAGCAATAATAACTTGTAGGATTTAAAATACAGCAGCAATAGCATTAAAGGCAGAAAGAGCAGCAAATGGCGTTAAGTGTTCTAAGGTCCTAGCACTATATGGGAAATAGTAAAAGTATTGCTATTTTGTATTAGACTTTGAT